AGAAGTTGTTCCTTATCCGATACATTTCATGTTAACCACAGCTGTGGAGGGGAATATATAGTTCACAGACGGATTTGTCTTTCATCTTTTGCATGTAAAAAGGAAAAAAGGAACTGGCCAAATACTTTCCTGAAGTCATTACAAAGAAGTACCCGACATAGGCCTATGTGAATATATACTTACCCGTTGTCTATATGCGTTGCCATTAATTCGGGCCAAACTTTCATACATCTGGTCACATTTCTCTGGATCTGAGATCTGGAAGGAAAAAGTTCACAGTTAGTTAAAATGCAAAGAACTGAACAGATATAATATATAACTGCTGGGTGTTTAAATATGTAATGATGAGCTATATTTCACTTATTTATCATGTTTGATTTAAAAAATTTTAAGTAGAGTAACTTTATAACCCATCTGATACATCAGGTGGCTGATGTTCTCTGCAGATATCAGTATTGGTGTGTAGTGCATGTTGGGCGATAGGTAACAAGAAACTGCAGTACAGTATATTTTTGTTGCATTTGTTTATGTTGTATAGTTGCCTTGATGCTTCACTAATTTTCAGTGAATTTAACTTAAGATCCTCTGTTATGTTTGCTGTTAATTGTCTGTTTTAGATACTGTAAAATGACTGACTGATATCTTTAACTTCTGCAGCTTGTACATCAGTAGCTGCCTCCACCCTGACTCTACATTTGGAAATGAGCTTATAGCTACAGTGGAGGAAATAATTATTACCTTTACAAAGACATGAACAGTCCATAATTTTTATGGTAGGTTTATTTTAACAGAGAGAGACAGAATATCAACAAAAAACCCAGAAAAAAATAAATAAAAAGGTTATAAATTAATTTGTATTTGATTGAACGAAATAAGTATTTGATCCTCAAGCAAAATGTGACTTAGTACTTGGTGGATAAACCCTTGTTGGCAAGCACAGAGGTCAGACGTTTCTTGTAGTTGGTCACCAGGTTTTCGCACATCTCAGGAGGGATTTTTGTCCACTCCTCTTTACAGATACTCTCCAAATCCTGAAGGTTTTTAGGCTGTCGCTTAGCAACTCGAAGTTTCAGCTCCCTCCGCAGATTTTCTATGGGATTAAGGTCCAGAGACTGGCTAGGCCACTCAAGGATCTTAATGTGCTTCTTCTTGAGCCACTCCTTTGTTGCCTTGGCCGTATGTTTTGGGTTATTGTCATGCTGGAAGACCCATCCACGACCCATCTTCAGTGTTCTGGCTGAGGCCAGGAGGTTCTCATCCAAGGTTCCACGGTACATGGCCCCGTTCATCGACCCTTCAATGCGGTGAAGTCTTCCTGTACCCTTAGCAGAGAAACAGCCCCAAAGCAGAATGTTTCCACCTCCATGTTTGACAGTGGGGATGATGTTCTTGGGGTCATATTCAGCATTTTTCTGCTTCCAAACATGGCGAGTCAAGTTGATGCCAAAGAGCTCAATTTTGGTCTCATCTGACCATACCACATTCTCCCAAGCTTCTCTGAATCATTCAGGTGTTCATTGGCAAACTTCAGGCGGGCCTGTACATGTGCCTTCTTGAGCAGGGGGACCTTGCAGGCACTGAAGGATCCCAATCCATTACGGCGAAGTGTGTTACCAATGGTTTTCTTGGTGACTGTGGTCCCAGCTCCCTTGAGATCATTAACAAGCTTCTCCCGTGTAATTCTGGGCTGATCCCTCGCCTTTCTCAGAATCATCCTTACCCCACGAGGTGAAATCTTGCATGGAGCTCCAGAGCGAGGGTGATTGACTGTTATCTTGTATTTCTTCCATTTTCAAATTATCGCGCCAACAGTGGTCTCTTTCTCATCAAGCTTCTTGCTGATGCTCTTGTAGCCCATTCCAGCCTTGTGCAGGTCTACAATCTTGTCCCTAGCGTCCTTTGACAGCTCTTTGGTCTTGCCCATGGTGGTGGAGAGGTTTGAATGGAAGAGATTGATTCTGTGACAGGTGTCTTTTATACACATAACGAGTTGAGATTAGGAGTACTTTCCTAAAAGGGACAGGACTAATTTGACTGCCTCATGGGCACATAACCAGTCTGTGGGGGTCAGAATTCTTGCTGGTTGGTAGGGGATCAAATACTTATTTCACTCAATCAAATACAAATTAATTTATAACCTTTATTTAATGTTTTTTTCTGGAATTTTTGTTGATTTTCTGTCTCTCTCTGTTACAATAAACCTACCATAAAAATTATGGACTGTTCATGTCTTCAAATCAGCAGGGGATCAAATAATTATTTCCTCCACTGTATATCTGGTGCGTTAAATGTATTGTTCCTGTTAAACAATCAATAATTAATGTTATGCTTTCAACAAGTTTACTTCACACACTTAAAACTTTTTTCTTTTTTTTTTTAATTAGGGACCCTTTCCTTTATTTTATGTCTTTTTATTCAGTTTTAATTTCTGTTTTATGATTTCTTCTATCATCATACACTTAGCACTTGAGTTTTGAAATGTGCTCTATAGGTTATATAAACATTATTATTATTGCACCTTGATTAGTTTATGACCAGATTTAAAGGATATTTATTAAAAAAATATTCGGCCAAGTGATGCGTTTAAGTTTAAAAAATACCGGTCAATACAGTATTTTTTAAACTCCCAAGTATCTACTGAATCCACTGTGTCAGAAATAATAACTACCATGAAAATAAATTTAGTAAAATGTGTAATACTTTTATCTGACATGTAGTGAAGTATAAATATACTGAAGTATAAAATGGAACCATCTAAGGAGAACAAGTAGCTGGCCCAAAAGTGTACTTAACAGTACTGCACTAAATGTACTTACATGCTACCACTTATGAAACACTGTTTACATGATGAAAGTTTTGGTCTCTTTTGTGTTGTATTTACCATGTAGATACAAACACAGCTTAATTAGCTTAAGCCTCTACAGCTGCATGTACGGAGTTCACAATAAAGAGGCTCCACGGTTTAATAACACACGGTTAGGGCACACAAGGTCGCAGGCTGTCAGTCCTCTTAACTGCAAGTAAAACCCTCAGCTTAGCTCGGTTTGTTCGTGTAGCAGAGCTGTGGCAGCTACAGTACCTGTGTGTTTTCACCCTCACGGAAGGCGGAGGCTACTTTGTGCCGCAGGAACGTCCCCAAATCTCGGCCTTTCTTGGTCTCATCACGGGGCCACTCCTCGCACAGCTTCAAGAACCGACGGTACCGAGTGGCGGACATAGCTGGACGAGGAACAATTGGTAGGGACGGAGAGTTGAATAAGAACGTATGACGTTTGAGCTTTATCGCGCACCGTAATGGTGTTACATCTAAACTCTTCCCTTTCCTTCTCCTCCTCCTCCTGGTTGTTAGTTCCGTTCGTTACCAGTTGTCTTTACAGTGCACGTTAGCAAGATGACCGGTTCAAACGGTAAAAAGGGCTCATCCCCCGGTGTGGCTGACTGGATCCGTTCAGCTTGTCAGTTTGCAACAGACAGAAACGACTTCAGAAGGTAAGTTCATGTGGATAATGTGTGATGCGTGATGTGTGCTAACGTTAGCCACATGGCTAACATCACTGATTCCATGAGGAGGTTTGCCCTTGAGTCTCTCGCCTGGATATAACTACAGAGCTTATTAGTCAAGAGAGGGGGGCTCTGAAAGGGGGGCTCTGATATTAGTCGATCAACTTAGTCAGTTACCAGAAAGTTTTGATAATGATTTAACCTTTCAAGTGACTGAACATGTTGTGGTTCCCGGCTTCTCCCATTAGAACTCCACTTTGAGTCTTGGGTCGTGGATCTGACCAAGCAAAACATTTGAAGATTTCATCTTGTGTCCTGGGATATTGCATTTGAAATTTTCTCCACATTTCGGTCATTTAATTGACTAAATGTTCTCTACACTAACTGTCCACATAGCACTGGCCAAAAAAAGGGTCAAAATATGTATGAAATAAGTAACAAAGAGCATTAACAGCATTCAGATATCCTGTTCAGTACATTAAATGATCATGTTTTGATCTTAAAATAATTCTAAGGCATCATGATCAATTTTGATAATGTTGGGGCATTCTTGTGTTTGAGATGCATACTATGTGATGGCAGTGTCCCTGTTTCAATTCTCAGTTGGGGACCTTTTTTGCAAGTCATACATCTCACCCTATATTTCCTGTCTGTATCTACACTGTCACTGTCTAGTAAAAGCAAATGTTTGTCTGGCTTTCATGTACAATATAGTGACCATTAGCCGATGGGGGGGGGTCATTTTTGCTCCTAGTCCATCAGTATTTATTCTACCCATTGTCACTGTATTTCTTTTATTTTTTTTCTCCAGCTGATGTAGAGATGATAATTTTTTGTTTCTTGTGTTGACGAGCTTTAATCTAGTCAGAATAAATCATAATTCATGACTCAGTGGATGTTAAATCTCTTTCAGGAATCTTCTGGTCAACTTGGGTTTGTTCGCAGCTGGAGTTTGGGTTGCAAGAAATCTCTCAGATTTTGACCTGATGTCTCCTCAACCTGTAACATAACCTGGTCAAAAATACAGCGCCACCAAAACCAGGATGACGGTGAGATCATCTTATTATGCTTATGTTAATATATAGACCAGTGACAAAATTACAAATTATTTGAGGAGCACATTTGTAACTGTCGTGATGCTTCTGTTCCTCTAGGTATCTTGGACCAACAAAGAAGAAACAAGGGACATGAATAAACAAACATAAAACTTTTATGACGAGTTGTGCTTTGAAAACAAATCATCTTGTTTACCTGAATTCACTTTTCTGTTTTGATGATTTTTCCTTTTTATTTGCATCTCATTGTAGATGGATCAAAAACAAATAATTACATTCAATCAGTATCTCTGCTCTTGTTGTCTTTGACCCATGGATTTAGAAATAGCGTTTTAACTTATTTTTTTAAGATCTCACATAGCTACTTTGCATTTAGGAAAGTGCACCAGAAACTTGTCAAGTTATCAAGGTGCAACATTTTGGTATATTTGACTATTTGAACTGTGTGATGTGATTTATGCAGCTATGTCCACTCAGGAGCTCTTTGTTGCTGCAGCTCGTAAAAGTCTGTGCACTGGTAGAAAATCTCTCTCTGTTCCCCAGAGTCTGGACCTGGCTTCTCAGGTCTCAGCTGTTGATCTGGGGTTGAAACCCGCTCTGCTGTATGACAGTAACGGCGCCAGTTCAGAGCAGTTACAGCAGTATTTGAGCATGTTGCAGTGCTCCCAGCTTGTGTCTAAATCACTTCTCACATTGGATTTAAATGGAAACACTCTCATTGTTAATCCAGTCGCAGTCAGATCAAATATAGAGCAGGCGTTTCATGATAGTGGCGTGGCTGTGATTGATGTCTGCCACTCACTGGAGAAGCCCACCATCACTGACCTGCTCAGAGGGGAGCTGAAGAGCGTGATAGAAGATCTACTGCTTCTTCTGAGCAGGTGTGAACTGAATGAGGCTGAGAAACCTCTTTATGTTGGAGAGAAATGTGAAGATTGGAACCTGTGCACAGTCTTTGGTCTTTTATTGGGCTACCCCGTCACCTACTGGTTCAATCAGACCAAAAGCTTTGAAAACTGTCTGTCTATGACTCCCCTGATGGTGACTACAGCTGCAGCAACATGGCAGGCAGATACCGCTGGTCACAGATGTTGTCTGTACTCTTTTAGCGTCCCAGCTGTTCTGCTTAAAGAGACACAGTCCAACCTGGAGTACTGGGGGCTTTGTTTACAAGAAAAATTTCAGCAGCAAAACGTCCTAAAGGATCTTAGCATATGTCAAACCACAGTAACTCTTCCCTCAGTCTGTTTGTGATGCTAACATACGTTTGTCTTTACAATAACCTGATACAGAATGTGGATTTTCTTCACTCCATTAAAATTTGTCAAAACAGCTGTTTATTTCTTAATGTGCAGTGGTATTCAATTCCAGGGTTGACAGTAGCACCAGTGGTCAACACAGTACACACACACAACCTGAATTATAACAGATTTAACTGAAAACATTTCAAAAACCCTCAAGGACAAATAAACTCATCATTCCTCAAAGTGATAATATAGAGGTATTTGTTTATGTACAGGTATGTAGAATAATGTCCTTCAAGCACTCCACTGAGGAAAACATGACCAAAGTCACTGAACAGTTAAATACAAAAAAGCTTATTTAAAATAATGCTACATGGAATCCAGCCAGAAAGAATTGAAAAAAATAATTTTGTTTTACTGTGTTTCATCAACAAATCAGTTAAATTTAATGTGGTTTAAGTGTCCTGTAGTCTTGTATTGCCACATAATATTTGTAGTGCATATAGAGCAGATGTAAGGTTCTTTTAACCAACACTATACAGTAAAAGGCCCATGACAAGTAGCAATAACACACTTTTGTCATAGCAGCCAGTTAAACCTGTTGGTTACGATGCATAACACACCTCACTGCGATTGGTGAAGTCCCCCCGGTTCGATTCTGGCTGGTGACCTTTGTTGCATGTGATCAGTGGTGGAAGAAGTAATCAGATCAATTACTTAAATAAAAGTACCAATATGACAATGTAAAGATTACATTACCAGTGTACATTACAAGAAAAAGTCCTGTAATCAAAATCCAACTTAACTGAAAGTACAAAAGTATAATTAGCAATCTGCAGTAAAAGAGCCTGTTACATTGTTGGTACTGATGCACCCACAGGTTCAACTGGTCTAGGTGGAGCCACTGTATATACACACACACATATATGTATTTTTTAAAACTAGCAACTAAGGCTGTCGACTAAATGTAGTATAGTATAAAGTAGTAGGAAATGGAAATACTCAAGTAAAGTACAATTACCTCAAGATTGTACTTAAGTACAGTACCTGAGTAAATGTACTTAGTTACTTTCCACCACTGCATGTCATTCCTCCTCACTCCCTGTCACCTCTCGTCTCTCTCATCTCTTGTCTAACCTGTTGATGTCAGGGGACATTTTAATTTAAAAAAGAAATCCGATGATTAGCTAAAATGACCACCAGTGATTTTTTATTTCATACTGACAAATTATGATGTTTCAGGACATAAAAGCTGCAAGATGTAGTTAATTTGATTCAGCCTGCAACTGCAAAACTGTGTGGCAAATAACACAGATGATGTCCTGACATGTAAAGTGCTGTACTGCTTTAAAATAATTTATTTAAAACAGACAACAGGTTTCTGTTACGACATATCAGATATAAATGTTTGCTTCAGTTTTAGGTAGAACGAGATCTACTGCTTGACAGTTTGTTGAACGGACACTGTTTGTAGTCTAACGTTTAAAAACCTGACTGAAAGGTCCATTCTCTTCACTATGTTATTTTATGCATTTAAAATGTATGCTGATCAATCGCAGCATCACATTATATAAAAACATGATCATATTCAATTCCTGGATAACACAAATTAAACCCTTTTGAAACCCTCTGATTACAGTATATTTTGTACAATGTCTTGAATTAGTTTCCAATTTATTTGATACTCGTCTATTGTACCGTAACCTGCTACATAATTTTATGCCTTTGTGAAATAGCAACTTGCACTTCCACAAACTTCTCGTAGTTTAACTTAATAAAAACGGGTCAGTTTAAGCTTATTTGCCAGTAGAATTTCTTCACATAAAAGCAGCATCAGTGTACTGTGAGTGAACAGAGCCAGTTTGTTGTGTCAAGAGAAGTTGGATTTCTGAGACAGGCACACATTCTTCACTGAAGGACATTTATATTATTAACATTCAGTTGTTCTGCAACAATATGTGAGTGCAGACATGTCATCCTTTGCCCTATACCGATCATGGCAGCAAGTACTCCTGTCAGAGATGTGTATATGATTGTGGCTCTGAGAATGCTGAGAATATCATCCTGAAGGTGATTATGTTGTTACCTTGTTAAAACTGAGGTAGTTTGCAAAGCCTTGTTATCAGCTGAATGCAGAATATTGAAACTTGATGTCCATGGCAGTCAGAGGGGCTGAATGACTGACAGCACTTCACCACAGCGACCGCTCACTTTCAGCCCAGCCAGGTGGTCGGCTCTCGTGGGCCCGATGTTCAGGATAGCGACTGGCATTTTCCTGTCACTTGCTGCCAGTAAGAACCTGTATCCGGAATATACCTTGCGAAATAACAGAGGTAGAAAATTAAATGCAAAACTTGAGAAATAACAGTGTTGTAACCTAGTGTCATTGTGACCAAGGTGCTCCAAAACCTACCTGTAACGAGGACCCCACGACTAGCACCGCATCCGACTCTGCCAGTCTGTCGTGCACAAACTGTACTGTCCCTTTTATCACAGAGTCTCCAAAAAATGTGACCTCGGGCTTCAGTATTCCTCCACAGTCGTCACAGGAGGGAACTCTGAAATGCAGGACCTGCTCGTCCTCCAAGAAGACATCACCGTCTGGCGCCACAGCACCTGCCTGAGCTCTCCAGTCTGGGTTTAATGATATGAATCGTCTCTGGAGCTCCTCCCTTGCTGAAATGGCACCACATCCTAGGCACATCACCCTGAGAACACCCATATTTTATCATCACATGTCAGCACGTGGGTGGTGACTTATACTGTCAGTGCAACCACAAAACAAAATAATCAATCTTTGTGATGCGGGACAGTTTTGGTTTTATTTGCTCAGGTTTTGAGATATCGGCCTCTGATATTTCTGCAGCCAACCCACTATAATGGAGGTGACAAGAATTTAATTTGTGGTACTCAAAGCAATAAATATTTACTTTTTTAAAGCTTTGAGTGCAATGTGTCCTGTCTCGAAGCAATGTCTCAGTTACTGTGGATAATCCACAGACCTTTCTGTCAAGAGTTTTCTATCAAACTAGTTTCTGCTGAAGAAGTGGTCTCAGTAAAAAACAGTGACAGTCTGTGGATTACCCAGAGTTTTTCTTTTAAATATTGATCTTAACTTTTTAAATCTAGTTTTACATTATGTGACCATCCCAAACAAAAGTCCATTCAGCATATATTTTAGAGTCTGATACCTTAAAATCTGTCCAATAATATCAAAACTATCAGCGTGGCTAAATACCACTAAGAGAGAAAATATGTTAATTGTCATTTGGGGTGAACTAACCCTTCATTGCTGCTGTTATTCAAGCAAAGGATCTGAACTTCACCAATATCAGTGAGGGCCCACTATTAAAGTGTCAGGTGATGTTTTCTCACCTGTGGGCACAGCCATGGAGCTCAGTCAATCTTTTCTGTCCTGCCTTTGAGTGAAGTGCATCCACATTTTGTGTGACCAGCCAGTGCAGCTTTCCACTCTCCTCCCACTGTTGCAGGGCCTTGTGTGCAGAGTTTGGCTGATGTGAGGAGAACTGTGGCCACCCGACAAAGTTTCTGGCCCAGTAGCGCTGACGGGACTTTGCGCTGCGGACAAACTCTGCATGCTGCATGGGTCGTCTATCAGTGCGGGCATACAGTCCAACACCCTCTGAGCGATAATCAGGGATGCCTGACTCTGTGGAGAGACCAGCTCCACTGATGACAAACAGACGTCTGGCTCGGGACACAAAGTCCTGCAGCTGGTCCACGGACTGGGCATCAGTGGTGCTGCAGGCGGGGACAAAGTTTGACATACCAGCAGGAACTGAGGATGTCCTTCTTACTGGTGCAGAGTGTAATGTGAGGGTCCACCAGGGCAGTCTCATCTATATCAGGACAAATACAGTGCTATTGGTTATAAACCAAATCACTCATTTCATTACTGCAATTACTCCACCTTCCTCCACCGAAGGGCGGTCGATAACTCTCTGAGGGCGAATGCAAACTGTTAGATAAAGGGTTTCTGCAGGGGTCACCAAATTAAATGCAAGACCTTTAACACTTTTCAAACCCTGAAGACTCGCTGTAGGTAGCTAAGGAGTTGTAAGATCACATGCCATCACACCTGCTTAACATGACCTAACCCAATTAATGTTCTTATGAGATTTAATGTCAATAAAGCTTGAATATATGAAAACATAGTAAGACACGCAGAAACTGTCCTTACTGTGTTTTACACATGTGCCCGTTTAAGCCGGTGACTTACTGCTTGCTAACGATAGCTACAATGTCAGCTAGCTAACTTTGTTAAAGGACGTTAGTTAGCTACTGTACCTTGTTTGTGAGTTACAGCGGTAACTACAGTTAAACGTTGTTGTTGTTTCTAGCACAACAAAGTGTCACCAGCCACTAAGAGTTAGTTAAATAACATGACAAAACAACAGCAAGATGATATAATGTAGGAACCTTTGTCGGACTGACTCTTACAGCACAGGAAATATCCGATTTTATGAAACACCAAACACAGTCGCGCTGAAGTCTGGGAGTTGTAGTCAAATGATTTTAGGTCAAGATCGCAATGTTGTTCAGCTTTATTTGCCAAAATGTACTTTGTACGTGACATATACGTGTATATGACAAATTGTAGCCCAAAATGTCTCTCGATTATTTATATAAGCGATTCCTAAACAGTAAACAGATAAATAGAATAACATTAAAATAATAAATACACTCTATTGGCAGTTTATTAGGTACACCTCCAATCAAGGTGCGGAAACATCTCAAAGATGATCAAGAGAAATGAGAGGCACCCAAGCTAAATTTCAAGTGTCATAGCAAAGATTCTGATTACTAATGTCAACGAGATATTTCAGCTTTTCCTTTTTACTAAATTTGCAAAAACGTCTAAAATTCTTTGTCATTGTTTGGTATTGAGTGTAGATTGATGAGGGATTTTTTTTGTTTTAGCATAAGGCTGCAACATAACAAAATATGAAAAAAGGGAAGGTCTGATGACTTCTTTAAATGTACTGTATCCCTTACAATTTGTATTCTCACGTTCATTTTGACGTTTTTGATTGGCCAATGTAAACAGAATTTAAGTGAAACCTAGATAAACTTACACATGGATATATTTCCATATTCTACACACAATGATTTTACATCCATATTTTTACAAGTGTAGTAATTTTTGTGCGGTAAGACAATTAGTGCAGCGCTGGGTGTCACCACAGATTCTTAGTGTGAGACGTTGCTGAGATAATGTCAGGAATTTGTTTTCAGGCTTGAAAACATTTGCTACAGCAAAGCATTTTGTGTAATTGAAAGACACAAAGATTATGCATAACACATCACTCATTTATGATGGCATCTGAAAGTTGCAAAAGTGAAAGCAAAGGTAATGACTGACAAAATTTTTTTGCAGTTGCTGAAAGGTCCTCCACTTCAATTTGCATGAAACCCCAACCCCTGATGTGCATAAGCAGTCATCCAGCAGAGTTTTTTTCTGAACATGATGATACAGACGATGGTTTTAACCATTGAGAAGCACATGAAAGGTTGTTTCCTTCTCTCTTAGAATATGCTGCACACATCCTGGCTGCAAAACTCCAAGATATCTGCAGTAAGGAAAAGTAAGGTACACGTTAACATTAGAGTTTGTTAAGTTATGACATGCATGACAATCGGCCAGTGTATTTGTTTGTAGTTGTACCAGAGTGCGTGCAGTTGAAGACGGTTTCTGCATGAGTGTAAAACTCCTCTCCGAGGATGGAACGGTGGTCCTTATGGCTTGTGTGGACGAAACACTGTGTTGCATCTTTAAACAGCAGATCACTTTCTCCATATTGCTGTGACTCAAAGAGCTTGAACTCTGCGTTTGGGTTGGCTGCCAAAGTTTCCTTTATGATAAAAAAAAAAAGTGTTTAAAAATTGTAATTTGTAATTGTAATAAGTGTCTGTCCTGATTTATGTCAACATTCATCAGAAGAAACAAAAAAAGATGCTGTTGACCCATAGAGTGAGAAACCCTGAAACATACAGTATTCTTGATGATGTCAAGTGTGTATTTAAAATATTACAATTTATTATGTAAATGTGATTACATATGCTGACCTGCGACTTCATGAGGAAGTCGTACACTCGTGCCGTGAGCACTGGCCGTGTCATGATGGTGTTGGGTGGGATGACTCCGAGGTTACAGCTCTCCCACTCTGACAACGGGGCTCGGCGACCATCACCACACAGCAGCTCAAAGTCTGATGACGTCCACCCCTCTGACCAACCAGTGGAGCCCAAACCTGAAGCACAACATGACAAAAACATAAGGTGACGTAATAAACACACAATATATGTCAGCATTGGTGTGTGTGTTTATGTAAAAAGGTTCTCTTGAATATCTCACTGAGGATGTTGGCCTGAAGGCTGTGTTGCTCAAGGAAGGCAACATCGCCATAGCTTTTTCCACTGGGATCTCCAACCAGACACCTATAAATGACAAGGAGTAAAGGGTCAGTTCAACTGAATTATATAAAAATCATATTTTCTCACTTAGCCCTAGCAGCATCAAGACGTACAAAGTTTTGGTTTTGTTTGAGATATCTGTCTCTAAAATTTCAGCCTCTATTCTAATACAATGGAGGTGGCGACAGTGCGTTCTGTGCATTATCCAGTCTAATGGGGACTGTGATTCTACAAAGAAGCGTTGCTGTGGAATTTTCTAAATAGACTATAATCAGTATATTTATGTTAACAATTACTCAAATGTATCTATGTGAAAGGTGGGGTCGCTCTTTTGATAAACCCACGAGTCTGCAGCTCGCCTCAGCACTTTTTAAAATCTTTCAGGTCATTTTTCTTTGTTGTTTTCCAGCCAGCAACTTTACTGTTTTAGTTCCCTCTTGCTAGTTCCTGTTTTCAGTCACAGCACTCAGCTGTTTTCAGTGAAAAAGCTATGATAAACCAAGTGTACACTACCTGCTCAGCAATTAATGGCAGACAGACAAAATTAGCAGCTAGCTGGTGAACACAGTGGAGTCTTTAACATCTTAAGAGACAGATATTTTCCTCAAGAGTTATTGGAGAAAAGAAAGCGAATATTGGACTTACGCTTGTCCAGCAGAAACTAACACGACTGCAAATGAAAGCACTGCTGTATGTGTATATAAGCAACTTGGTGCTAAAAAGTTCAACATATGAACTTAACAGGTGATAATGTGTCAGTGTTGAATCTACAGCCACCTTCAAGTGGCCAGAAATAACTCATTTGGGTTTAAATCTAATTTTTCAATTTGTGAGCACCATAGACTTAATTCCATTTACATCACCTGTATTGGACAAATATCTTAAAACAGGGACATATAAAAGCTATTCTATCTTAATGGCTGAATACCACTACAGGTAGTGGAGAAAATATATATTTTCAAAATTTCAGCAGAAAACTCTGGCTCAGGTAAGCTGCTGATCATACCTTAAAGCCCCCATATTGCCATAGTAACGCTCATTGTGGTTGTCAGCACAGCGTTTGGTTGCAGCCTCCCCGGTTCCTCCCATACACACTTTACACAAATTCCCCTGAGAGCCAGGAAGACAGCCTTTCCAAAACACCTTGTTGTACACTAAGAAAACACAAAGTGACAGACTGCAGTTACACGTGAGGGTTAGTGCAAAATGCCAAGAAGACAAGCGGCCAACAAGAGGACCGGCATTTAATAAAAGATAAATAAAAGGTGAATATTGAACATGTTCAATAAAGCAGGACTCCATATGAATGACTGGAAACAGCACCTTGGTTTGGATCGCAAGGAGAGCTGCTGTTTTGCTCAAGGCTCAATGTGTGTCTGTACGGCAGCAGCCAGCCTCCGGGGCTGTACATGTGACTCTGACAGGAGCGGCGGCCTCCAAGGTTCCCGATGAATATGTTTCTGCTGGAGCGCTTTGCAACTGCTACACCCACCACTGAGGGCAACACTGAGGAGGCAAACAGCAGGGGTTTCCACATAAGGACAACAATCACATAAGCTTTCAAATCAGGCGTTTAGCTGGTTTTTGTTTTCATCTTACCATCTGTCTCTAAGTGAGTTGATCCTTCAGCAAGCACACATTTTCCTCCTGAGAGAGTCCAAGAGAAGACAATAGAAATAGATACAAATAAAATGATTAAATAGACTGCAGCTAATCTAATGATTACTTTTTCAACTAACCATTTTGTTTGTAAAATATCAGTAAATAATGAAAAACTCTAAACTCTTGTAGGCCTGTTATTTGGACGCGCTGCCTTTAGAAAATGTTACAGTCAAATGTTTTAGATTTTCAGTGCTGCAGACAGAAAAGCAGTAAAAAGTGGCAAAAAGTCAGAAAGCCAGAAATTCAATTAAACCATCTTTAGGATTATTCTAGTACATGTAATTCATTTATACTTATATTTCATAATTTCTTCTTTCTTTAAATTTCTCTGTACTTAATTATTTTTGTTATTGCTATTCTTATCGTTATCCTTTGTTCCACAATGATTAAAAATGCTTGGACAGTTGAGGTTTCTAGTAAATTAATCAGCAACAATTTGGATAATTAATTAATCATTTTAGTCATTTTTCAAGCAAAAATACCAAACATTTACAGGTTTCAGCTTCTCAAATATGTGGATTCTCTGCTTTTCTCTGTTTTACATAAGTGTAAATTAAATATATTTGGGTTTTAGATAATTGGTTATATATTATATTGGATATTGGATAAAATAAGCAATATGAGGACATCACCTTGGACTCTGTGGAACTAAGATGGACATTTTTGCTATTTTCTGACACAACATAGACAATACGACTAGTCACTAAAGTGAGAAAATCATCTGTAAATGAATTGAAAATTTAAATGATTAGTTGCAGCCATAATGTCTATATTATTTCTACCTTGTCTTTCCAAAATGCCTTCAAATTGCCTGTTTTGTCCAAGTAATAGTCCAAAAGATAGAAGATAGCCCAAAGATATTCAATTTCCACTGATATAAAAACAGAAAAAATCTATGTATTATGATGAGAGACCTTAGAAAAACAAAATACAAGGATTCTTACCATAATATTCAGTTACTACAGGGACAAGACCGCATTTCCCAGCGATGAACGAGTGAGTTGCATCCAGTGAGACAGCGTCGACCTCGTCCCTCTGTGGTCAAGGTACAGGTCATTGGAGCTTTTATGACAGTACTTTACAGTGTCATAAAAATCCTGATATTCTGCAATTTATATGAGCTACCTTGATTTTCTCAATACAGTTCCGCATTGAGACTGCTCTAACACACACCAGCGGGTCTGACTTAATACTGAGAGCCCACTGTTCACATTTCTTCTGCTCTGCGTGGCTGATGCAGCACCATCGCACAACACTGTCCTCCAGTGAGCTTCCTGCACACATACAGGTTCAGTGACGTTACACAATCACAGCCAGTCTGTTTTCAATATAGAAATTAACAACCACACATCAGTGGAAAGTAAGTACCTTCGTGTCCAAGACCTTTGAGGAGAGCCACATAATCCAGCCCCAGCACCTGACTGACGTCCATGTCATCTGGGAGAACAGCTAATTTATCCGTCACATCTTTGAAGAGAAGATCGCTTTCCCCAAAAATCGATGAGTTGAAGAGTTGGAAGCGCTGCCTCTCTCTTCCTCGTTGGCCAAACAGCATCTGAAGAAGACATTTTTTATGAGAATAAAATGACACCAACAGACATGGAGTACATAAAGACAATGTGTGATATTTGGGGGAAAAGCAAAGGAATGAACAAAAAAAACTTACCTGCACAGTCATTAAAAATTTGCGAGCAACCTTGCGAAAGTTGAATCTGGTGACCATGCCCCCTCCTGGACCCCGTCCCAGGTTACAGTTTCTGTAGTGGCTGAGAGGAGCCTGTGTACCATCGGTACACAGTAACCTGAACTCATCACTCTCACTCTCTGAGGGATGAAAGGACAGAAGATGGAAGGAGGGTGAAAAAGCAGGTGATTTCCAGCAGGTTTAGAGCTGGTTTGGCAGATGCTGGACATTGCAATCATATATCCATTACTTTAAGCTCAGTGCAAACAGCAGCTGGTGTTCAGGTGTTACAACTGACTCAGGTTGGTGGTAAACTATGTAATCAGCTTAGCTGGTAGTTTATTATTGAATATTAAAGACCATCTAGCAATGGGATCACACTAGCTGCGACCCCCATTAAAATGTTCCAATCCATGAATACTCTGTAGTTATGACTACATTATTACATGAGTACTCAGTGCTCATGGGTCACTCGTTGTTTATTGATTTATTTATCAGCAAAATATAATCTTTTTTTTTTCAGATTAGCTGGGCAACACCACTGTGGTGCCCTTAAGCAAGGCCCTTAACCCAAACTGCTCCAGTGGAGCTGCTCAGTGGCTAACAGGTCAGACTGTGGTTGTACTGGGCAGCTTCCAGGTGTGAATGTGTGTAACTGTGTGATCAGGGCATTCCTGTAAAGGCTAGGTTCCCTCTCAGTGAAACTAACCTGAATAAATTAAGGTGTACAAAAAAACATTTTTAGAAAACTACATAAGTACCCTCCAGAAGGAAGTATTTTTTGGGGGTATTTTTGCCTAAAGTGAATAGATGAACAGTACAGAGCTGACAGGAAATAGGAGAAGGGGACATGGGGGAGGATTTGCTCTGACTGGTGATATAATGACATGGTCAGTGTCTTAATCCCCTAGACCACAAGGACAGTGCAGTTTTTAAACTGTAACAGAATAAATGAATAGTAAGATACAACTGAAGCTCTATTACAAGATATTGTTTACCTTCAATACTTTTAAGGGCTAAATGGTCCACAAATGCAACATCCCCTGCTCTGCTCCTGAGACATCTGTAACAGAGAAAAACAGGTAATTTGAGAAATTCACTAATGTTTTTACTGTTATTTCTTATGTTTGAAACATAGTTAACATGCGTCCTTGTTGATCTTTAGTTAAGCCTGACCTGAGGGCTCCCTGGCTGTTGTAGAAGGGCTCACTGTGGGATGTTTCACAGTGGTAATTCTTCTGGCGAATGTAAGACTTTTGGCCTTGGCACAGAGCACACAGAGGAGCTGCCATGGCTGCAGCTCCAGGAATACAGCTGGCACTGAAAAAGGTACTGACGTCTGCTCGAGAGGAGGAAAACAAGAGAGGGGACTGAATAACCAGAGGACCAGAAAAGAGAAAATAGAAAGAGGACACTTCCACACTGTGCTGCATTCACTGGTTGCTGCTAATAATAACCTCATTACCCTGACTGAGCGGCTGCTCCTTTGACCAGCTCAGGTAGTTTCTGGACAGGAGGAAGCCGAGAGGAAGACTCCATCCAGCTGTCCATCGAACCCCACTGTGACAACTCCTGGTACCCTGCAAGGATCGTATGTCCAAGTTGCTGTTCCTCACCACAGCCACAGATAGAATACAGCCTCCTGCAGTGCAGACACAGATGGACAATCACAGACTGGCTCAGAACATCATCATGAAGAGACATGTTGAAGCATCTCAGAAATGTGAAGTAAACCTACCGTCACTGTATATCTCCTTGGCGATGGCAACGAGGCCGAACTGCTTCACAGCAGAATAAACTTCTCCTGCATCTAATGTCACTATATCAGCACGGTTTCCCTGAAACACAGAATGCAAAGAGCGGGTCTCAACTTCACAACCGGAAGCAGATGTTGATATAGCAGTGTGCCCTCAGGGTTCATATACCTTCAGTCCATTTATTATACAAACCCTCCTGAGAGGTAATCAAACCTCTTCACTTTTCCAGACTTTGTGGGGCTGCAGCTTCAATTTACAAAGTTTAATACTGTGATATTGATTGAAAAGATATTAAAGAAATAAAGAAAAGTCCCAAACTGTGTTGTGATAAAGACAAATATAAAATTTCTTCCAGCCCAAAATTTCTCTTCTCCTTTAAAAAGAAATTACATCTACCCAGCAAAGTTTAGTATTTATCATTAAAGGGTAACCAAATCTTGTAGCTGCACCTCACAAAACTAAATTAAATTTAAAGTATTGTTATGTAATTATTTTATGCTATACTACTGTGCTATTAAAAAAACTTTTTAAAAATTTTATTATTTATTTATTTTATTATGTGTGTATGTATGTGAAGGATGGCTCACCCTGATCCTATCAATACAGTCAGTTGTGCTGGACGCTCGTATGCATGAGAGTCGGGCAAAAGCTGTCACAGCAGCTGGAGGCAGCACCGCCACCAGAGCTTTAGCGAGTTCTGCACACTTCCTCTGTTCAGGATCTGACACTGTGCACCACCGCATCTTCTTGGCTGTCATGCAAGGAACAGTTCAAACAGTCCACACAAGTCAGTCAGAAAAGTAATACACTATGCATCTACTGCAGAATTTAGTTGTTTGTCAACTCATATTTGTGTTTTAAGACACAGGTTTTTCATTAATTTCTTTGTGCATTCTTTAATCAAGAAAATCTAAAGCCTACTTTACATATCAGTAAACTGTGAAATTATTTTACAACATTTATAATGTTAAAATCAGTTTTAATGTCCTGAAAAGCAAAAAGCTCCGCAAACAGGGCAACAACTTTTCCAGCAACAATCAGAAGCCAAAACTAAAAAAAAGAAAAAACAGACATAGAACATTCAACATTCACAGTGAGACTGAATATGAGCACAAAATGACTTATCAGTGTAAATAAATGAACTAGATCAGTAACAAAACTTACCCCTGATGCAGCAGACCAAGATGAAAAAGAGTAAAATAGCATAAACACCTCGCATTCTGCCCGGTTGTAGATCAAAGATTTGTAAAAAACTGCCTTATCCAGAATGCAGAGCACAACAGACAGCTGTCCTTTCTGTTATTCTGAAATCACTGATTTTCCTGCATAGATTTTCCAAAGTATTAGAGGCACTGGTTCTAACGGGGAAATAGAAAACCTATTGCGCAAGGGCTGAGCCTCTGAAAACAGTAAAGTCACTTTTTGCACACATATGGAAAATATTTAGCACCATCTGTCACAAGGACAACCCCTATCCAACCTTTTGTAGATTTAAAGTGTAGAGGTGAAGGCTGCTTAATGGTGCTGGGATGTAATGTTTCTGGACATGCTGAGACGAGTTTCAGACTGTTTACATGATATTTAACAATAATCAACAGCATTACCTGGACATTAAGAGATCCATTTTTTTCAAAATCCGAGTGCAGTAGAAGTATAAATGTCTAAAAAACAAGCAAATCTACAGCAAAATATGTGTCAACAGTTTTCTCCTTCAGTTCTCAAGTCAGTCTTCACATTATTTTAAGAAATGTGATCGTGGCAGATGAACAGCAGTTCAAACAATCAGCAGGTGTAATCGCTTAGGGAGTGTGTGTGCGGGCCAATGCTGTTTCCTGTCACGTCGTAAACACAGAGTGGTCAGTTTCCATGTCATGTTTTTGGAGGGAGAGAAGAAACTCCTGAAGTGTGGAGGACAGTCTGTAAATGCTGGATTCTCTCTGTGTGTAGCAGCATCGCTGGCTTCCGTTTTGCCAGTTCGGTGGACAGTCTGTCGATGCGCTCCTCCAACTATCAACATGAAAAACATCAACTATGACACAGGTAAAGTCGTATTTTGTGTCAATGATTTGTTGTAATTAGTTTCCCCACATGTGAACTCTGAATGCTGACTTGCTAGATATTTACTTGCCTCAGAAGAAAGTGTACATGCAAAATTTAAGCCATCAGTGTCATTTGGGAAGTTAGAGTTTCAAAACATCAACACTGATCTGGAGTTTATCATAAAATAACAATAGTAAGTGTGAACGACAAACTTAGGTACAAAAGCTAATGCTGACCGCATGCAACTACACTGTTTGCACCATTTCATAGTGTAAAAGTGTTGTTACCTGTTTAACACAAAACATGTGAACTTTATCTGATCTTTTACCTCCTTCAACTCCTCACAAACGGAATGTTTTTCCATTTGTTCATCTTCGCCACTGGTCTGTAGCCAACTTTGCAATACCTCTTTGAGTTTTTGCCATGCCCTGAATGGACACACACACATGCAAACAAACATCAGTTACTATGGTGAGAAAGTGGACAAAAATTTAACAAGGACAGAAAAAAAACTGGTGTTTCTTTTTTACCGGAGTTGTTTCCTGTCCTGTTGGAAACTGTTCATGTCCTGCTGAATGCTGAGCAGTTCTCTTGTCAGAGCTGATGCTGGATCAGTTGATACATCTTCTATATGAGCACCCTCAGTTTGTTCAATGGATGCTCCTAGATGTATCTCTTGAAAAAGCACAAGGAAAACTTGTTTTGACCATGGTGTTTATGATGGTCTTTGTAATCCAATCTTAACAATCATGTTTTTTATAATGAATTAAAAAATAACTCATTATTGGGAGGAAATGTGCAGCTACCTTACCTGGATACCTGGAATTACGTTTAAATGGAGCAACAAACTGATGAAAAGGCACAAGTGGGGCATCTCCAGAACCTGGGCTGCTTGTCTTTCCCAACTTGGAAAAAAGACGACGTGATATAACCCAAGTTGAGTCACTTAATTTAGCACTGAATACATACTGATTTCTGTCCAAGTTAAACAGGTGATTATTACCATATTTTGAGACCCAGTGGTCATGAAAGCAGAAGGAGGTAAAAGAAGGTCTTGGTCTTGAGTTTCCTTAGAGGAGTCCACTATAGACAATTGAGGCTCAGAGGGTGTAGATGCGATGGCACTCTGATGTGTGGAGGTAACAAGGACTTTAGCAGGAAGAAGGTGTGACAACACTGCAGGATGTTTTTTCTTTGAGGAAGAACAGAACTCCAAGGGTTTTGGAGCTGCTTCAGTGCTGGTGATGTCAGACTGGTTTTGGGCGCTAGAAAAAAGAAAAAAAAAAAAGATTATTTCAAATATGGAACAGATATGTAATTAGTATAAAATACATGTGTAATGCTCTACCCTTTATGTGGAAAGACCGTCAGTGGGGACTCAAACAGCTCTTCACAGCAACGCGGCGGCCGTCGAGGCATACGGGTGGGAAGCCTGCAAAAAGATGACAAACTCTCTAAGACTGAGTCCATGTGTTGAAAATAGATTCCCAGCCTGTCAGGGACTCAGACTCACAGCTTGCTAAGCACTCCATCTTCAGCTTCCTGCTCCAATGAGTCAGCCGAGGAAATGCTCTTCAGTCCAGGAGTAGTCAAACAGAAGGTCACACTCTTTTTCGGTGGTTGCTCTCTGACTGCTTTTTCTCTTTGTGGTTTGCAGAGTGCCCGCTGTTTCCACCGCATAGCACAACGTTTAACCACTCTCTGGAGATGACATGACCTCTGCAGGACACAGACAGACATGAACAGATCTTATCTGTAAGCAGAAACAGATAATTTTGTAAACGCACACACATACTCACTTGCTCTTTTCTGTATTGTGTGAGGCTCACTGTGAGATCATTCATGTGAGCAGCATATGTAAGAATGCATGTCACACCCTCCCTCAGCAGCTGGTCTCTGTAGACCTGTGCAGCTCTGGCTGCCTCCTCCTGCTTCCTGCGTTGCTCAGTGACCCACAGCCTCCACCCATACAGGACCTGCAGCAGGTTCACAAAGAAACATCAAGAAACATTAAACCCTTTGAGCACCAATTCTCCAATATTTGTGCTTGATCTCCTCATGAGGCCCCGAGAAAACAATGTGTTACCTTGGCTTGAAGAGTGAGGGACCAGTGCCAAAGAGCTCGCTCCGTCTGCTCAACTTCTCTCCGTCTGTGCTGCAGCTGTTATCAGGAAGTAAACCAAAGTAACAGCCAGTTTAACTGAAATAAATCAAACCACACACATGTATATTGATCTGAGAGTCTGACTTTGCTATCTACTCACTGTATAACTCCATATAGCAAGATGGACAATTATCAAAGCAATAAAGAACATCTTAACAATAAAACAGATCCAATTCTCTTCTTTTCCCTATGATCCTTAATTTAAATGGCAACTCCTGTAATTTAGTGTTTGATATTTCCATAACATTGGAGGACATGTGAGTCAGCATTTAAAAAAATAATCAAGTCAAGAATCAAGAGTCAAAATCAAAGCAGCCTAGATATCCTGACTTTCAATAATAATATGGGTCAAGCTCTAAAAACATTGGATGCAACAATTTCAAAAGTTTTTTCAAACTTTACAAAGCTGCTCCAGACCCACGGAGACATTTTACAACTCTTTTCATTGGCTTCATACGAGTGTTACTCGTCATGACAAGTACTGATCTTTATGTGTAAAATCAGTGGAGCGCCTCTTTAATTGCAGCGTGTGAAACGTAACATCAACAAACCTTTATTTTCCACTGTTCAAAGTAGGTCTGGTACATCTTTAATCTCAGCAACAGGATCCCTTGTCGTTTCATCACCTATGAAACAGTCACATTTTTCAGAATTTCTGTCATAGCATGTGGGCTTTTTATAACAGTTAAGGGAAAGTGAATTATAAACCTTATGTTTCCGGTAATGATAGTGATGCTTATTCCACATTTTCATTGCTTCAGAGAGGAGTTTGGAGTTATGGTGCTGTTTGGCTTTTTCCATACACATCCTCTCCCTCCGAGCATCTCTGGTTTGTCTCCTCCACTTTCTGAAAGACCGCAGCTGACGTACTAAACAGAGAAAACATTAGCTTACAAGGTGTAGAGCATTTGAGGTACACCCCCTTCTAATCTTAACAATAGAATTCTTCTTGTGATAGTTGTAGAATCTGTGGTGAGGACATGTGACAAATACAATGAAGTGATAAACAGATGATAATTGCATTTTTTTCCCACACAATAAAACGCAGGCGAGAGGCTTGGATCAGGGATATTTACTTTTGAAAAGAAAGCCACTATTGGTTTTTTTTTGGTCTGTGTTATTTTGGTTTACCAGTGTGAGGAGTCTCACTTCATCACAGTTTTTGTTATTTTTTTATATATTTGAAATATGGCCAATCAGCTGTACACAGTGAGTGTGAGAGCAAATCAAAATCACATTACACTTCTTAACTATGGAGCTGTAAGTCTAAGAAAAACACTTTGGTAGACATGTAATAAGTTGATAAACATAGCAGAAAGAGTTGTTAAGAGTTGCAGGGAGGTGACATTCACATAAATACAATTACATATGTTCTTAGAAAATAAACATTGAAATGGAGTTGAATCTTTGCTGTTTGTGGAGTAATGTTGTTACCTTTTTATTTACAGTCTATGGTTGTTACCTTGGTTTGTGGACCTCTCAGCCCTGCTGACTGCTTCCTCCTGCTGGTGGCGCTTTGTCACTGCACGTGTTGTTGCTTCTCTCCAAGCAAGAAACACCTTCAAAGATTTAGTGCAAAGAAAGCAATGAGCAAAGGCTGAATGAATGATGATTAATTGTATTAGTTTTGAAGACTAAGAGACCAGATTGCTTATATAACCTTTAACTGAAGAAAGTGCTGAAAGTGATCCTGTGCTTGTTGCTCCATGAGCTGGCCCTCTGCCTGTAGCACTGCGTTCTCCCTCCACACTGACATAGCCGTCCTGGAGAGACAAAACTGAAACTGATGATGCTGATACATACCTGTCTATTCCTTTCTATTTAGAGAAATATTCAGATATCACATATTTCAGATTTTGAAGAATATATCTATGTATTAGTGTTTAATACCTGAGAAAACGCTTTGTTTGCTGTCTGTAAAGTTCCTCGGTTTGACCGTAGATCTGAGACATTTGTAGGTGGTGTGTCTGTGAATACAGCAGGGCATGGTGTATCAGCTTTCACATTATCTTTATCGGCCCCAGCGTATGAGATCATGTGATTATATTGACATAGAAGTACCTTCCAGGTCACAAAGGTGTGCTTGAGAAGTTTAGCTTCATGGTAACGCTGCATCTCCTCCAGTTTGCTTTTTTTCACTCTCTGGTTCTGAACAAACTGATCAAACAAAGGAGAATCACTAATCGCTAGTTGTTATATTATTATTATATATTATATTATTGTGATATCAATAGTTGATTGACAGAAAGTTTAGATAATCAATTAATTAATTCAAATTAATTTTAGTATTTTTTAGTCATTTTTTTATCAAAATGCCAAACATTTGATGATTCCAGCTTCACAATATCTTTGGGTTTTTGATTGTTGTCCAGACAAAGCAAGACATATGAAGACATTACCTCGGGCTGAGAGACATTACAACAGGCTTTTTTCACAATTTTGACATTTTATAAATAAAACTATTAATCAAGAAAATAATCTGCAGATTATAGTCACAGCCCTAAGAATATGAATGCAAAATTTCAAGTAAAACACACTAGAAATGCCTGTGATGAGCTTTTAAAGGGGGATGTGTGGGACACATCCAGCAGTTTACAAGGCCATACCAGTTTTCAGAAGTTTTTTTTTTTTTTTTTTTTTTTTTACTTAAACCAAAAGCGCTGACACCTTACAGTGTATGAAAAGATGATGTACAGACTGGACAAGACAACGATTACAAAAAGCACCTTTTTCCATTTTTCCAGAGCCCATTTCATGCAGCGCAGATCACCCTGATGACAAGCCTTCTGCTCCCGGTTTCTCCTGACATGCAAACAAATAAACAAACACATTTGTAAGCCAACAGCACTGTAAGTAGCTCGTACTTGTACTAAGACCAATCAATCACTTCAGCAGCACTAAGTTTGCCTCACCTGTCTCGAATCTCAGTGCTGCTGTCCTTCCACTGTGTCATCGTCTTGTGGAGAAGTCGGTGCAGGTACAGACAGTCTGAAGCTTTCTGTTTTTCCTCCTCATTGATCTGCTGCTCTGCCCTTTGCCTCCAGCGAGCCCAGGCTCTCTGCATGTTGCATCGCTCCTCATGAAGAATAGCCTGTTGACAACAAGTTATCTGTCTGTGTCTGATACACAGCTGTGCTCTTAATCAACAATAAAGTTTCCATCTATAGCTGGCATACCATTCGCTCAGACAGCATCTGCTCCTTGTGCTTCTCTGACCGCCCCCACCAGGTGTAAAACACCCAAGAGTACTGACGTTGCCTGATAACAAAGTGTACAAACAAATAAGATCACTTCTGCTTGGTTTGGATGCAAATCTCAAAATGAGTACAAGTCTGGAGGAAAAAGACCGTAACTCACTGATTATAGACTTCTGCCTTGTGTCTCCTCTGTGTATGGAGTCTCCTCTGCAGAGTGAACTCAACCCACGAATTGAAACACCGAGGCAGCATGCGCTCTGCAAACCAAACGTCTGCACGATGCTCCAATTCCTGCAGAAGAGCATAATGTTTTAAGTTAACTATGAAACAATATTTTTACAGGTATTAGTATCACATAGACATTTCTCATTTTGATCAACTGTTTGTCTAAATTTTATCAATCAACAGTTAAAAACATATAAAAGAAATTGTTAATTCTTATTTGGAAATAGTTAGTTGGAAATAGCACAGGGCTGCGAGTCAAGATTATTTTCATTATTGATTAATTTGAAGATTATTTCGACAATTACTCGATTAATTGTTTGACAGAGATTAATCAGAAATAATCAGAATTGCTACAGAACCCAAGGCAACATAATCAATTGTGTCACTAAAAGTCAAAGATAGTGAATTTACCATGATATAAAGAAAAGCAAAAAATACTATACTACATTTAAGAAGCCAGTGTTGGCAAATGTTTCTTGGCTATCAAAAAAGTTGTCGAGTAATTTTCTGTTGACTAACTAATCAATTAATTGACTGTTTCAGTTCTAAAATATAGAAAGAAATGTATTTTACAGCTCTTAAAATACAGTCATCAGAGTAAATAAATCTATATTTGAGTGAGTAGTCAAGGCATTGACATACTGCCAGTTTAACTGAAGCCATTCTTGGCATATCATTTATAGAAACATATGCCTGTTCTTTAAGTATTGCTCTTGTTATGAAAATGTTTTGTTCATCCTAGGAAAATACCTGCATGTGTCTCTGTTCAGCAAGTTTCTCCCTCCAGAGGTGAAAACAGCTGCTCAACAGGGACGTGCTGAAAAGGGAAAAATCTTTCACTTTAGATAAATATTTAAATTTGAATTAATCACACAGGAATAATTTAAAATTACGTTTTGAACACATAGATGTAACTCTGTATACCAATCAATATATTCTTTGACTCCAGGGCAAATGTAGGTGAAGCCACAGAATGAAACTAGAATTACTGCCTCGTAGTTGTATGACTCTGCCAACCAGGCAAGTTGCAGGAAATATAGTCACAATCTCTCCTTCCTGAGTTTTTGCAGAACATTATGATGCCACAGTGAAGTTGACCTTGAACCATTTGGATATAAAATGACATCACTTCATTTTATCCATATAGACATTTGAGTTAAATTGTGTCATAATTAGTGTATCAATTCATGAGTTATGGCCAAAAACATGTTTTGTGATGTCACAGTGACCTCAACCTTTGACCATGAAATTCTAATCAGTTCATCCTAAAGTCCAAATGAATGTGTTAAATATGAAGAAGTTCCCTTAAGGCGTTACGGAGATATTGCATTCACCAGAATGGGACGGACGGACAGACAACCTGAAAATATCCCTGGCTATCGCTAGCGTGGAGGCTTAAAAAGTAAATGAAACAACCTGTAGTTAATCTGTGCCATTTCTGTTAGTGGTTGAAAACTCTTGTCTTCAGCTTCCTCAAGACGGTCCTGCCACAGCTTCCAAAACTTCCTTATCATCTACAAGAAACACAAACATAAAACGTCAACCACCAATGCAAACTTTAATAGAAATATTTAACTTATAATGTAATTTCAGGATGAGTGCTCATCTATTACAGTTTGATAATAATGCTGGAGAGCCATGTTGTTGTTCAAACGATGTGTTTTGTTCCAGATGACGTTGAGAGAAAGTCCCTGCAATCCAGCACTCTGCAACAACAATACACAGTAATTAATACATGATTGCGTTCTGTTCTTCTGTTGCTTCAATTTTGGCTCTTACCAGTAGATGATGTTGGTGGTGTTGACTCGCCATCTGGTTTATTTCAGCTTCGTCTCTGCACAACGTCACATCTACTGACAAGCTCAAGAATCAAACAACTGTATTGATAATTATAAGAACTTTCTATCCTACAGTGGACCTCTTATGATGCTGTAGTTGGTAAGAAAATGAAAGGTTCGAAAGATATGTTAATGACAATATGTTAATGATGATATCTCAATTTTATGTATTGATTAAGATACAAGCTCTCCATCGCTCCAGTGCTCTGCGTTTGGTGCTCTGTATGGCTAACTGCCTTGCAGCTTGCAGACAGTCCTCCTCACGCCACCTGCGATGCAACGCATTTCTCCAAGTACTCCAATACGTCCTCACCAGACGGAGATGACAGGAACGCTGAACTGCATCTAAAACATTAGAAAGGGAATAAAAGAAAACTGAGCAATACATCTCAAAAAAACATACACACAAAAGTATGTATTCCAGGAATGTAATTAAAATGACCTTGTGACTTTCTTTTGGTTTGGCAGCAGGACACATAACTCATCCACTGATGCAATGTTTTTCTTTTCAGTTTGAGAATGAAGTGAAGTGAAGCCTTGGATTCTTTTTTTTTCTGGCAACAGGAAGCTGTGTGGATTTCTTTCCAATGAAGCCAGGTCTTTGCAAAAATGAGCAGTGCATACATCACACAAAGTAGAAAGGGAAATACAACAAAGATCAGTATTTATGTTGAGGCAAAAGACATGAGTTATGAGTGTGTCTGATAAGATGTTTACCCTCATCTGTAAAGTCATTGTCTGCTGTTTGAGGGCTTGGTCCTCCAAAGTGTAAAGGTATTGATGCTGCTGCAGCCTAGTCTGCCATAAGCTCCATGCAGAACTGCTCACGTAAAAAAAAAAAAAAAGGAAAAATTTACAACTTACTAAACATCATGAGCATAGATCTACAGTACTGTGCAAAGGCTGCAGGCATTGTAGATTTTTTATTCAATCATGCAGTGTCATCAGGGAGGCATCTGTACAGTACTGTGCTTCGTAAATACAGTTAACTTACTGCAGAGTTGCAAGTCTGCTCTGCTCAAAAGCTGATTCAAGCATTCTCTTCTTCATTCTCCTCATCTCTGTGAAAACCTCCCACCTGTCCCAAACCAGACGCATGTGTTGCCTGTCAGCTGGTTCAAGAAACAAAGTGATTAATGACACAAGAGCTGACAAAACATGAAGTTATATGAGCTTGGATATGTTCTCATTTGTAAACTCTTACCATATGATTGAGCATTTTGTAATTTTTTTTTCTTTTTCCTCTGCATAGACATAAACACGTGCCAGCTATGGAATCCCAAGTTATACAGATAATACCTGAAAAACAAAATAATTCATTAGCATACACAATACACAATAAACAACTGTGACCAGCTTTCTGGGCCACAACTGCGACTGTAAAGTCCAGTAGTGCAAAAAACTCATATCTTTTACTTAAGTTAAAGTACCCATTCAACATAAAAATACTCTATTACAGGTGTAAGTCTTGCATTAATCCTACTTAAATCAAAGTAAAGAAGTATTATAAGCTAAATTCATTTAGAGTAAAAGAATTCATAGACATTTGAAACATGAAGAGGGGCTCCAAATAGACAATCATAAGTTGTCACAAGCCCAAAAGGTCTTCAGATAGATAGACAGACAGACAGACAGACAGACAGACAGACAGACAGACAGACAGTTTGATTGACAGATACTTATTTATATGCTAGGGGAAATTCATGTGTCCATTAGCTCGCTGATGATAATAATAATGACATTTTTAAAAAAAAAATTATATTTCTAATAATTTAACAATATGTTGTTATTTTTATGACTATAAGTCTTTTATGTAAGTTTTAATTAGAAAAGTAACTAGTAACTACATCAGTCAGATAAATATAGTGGAGTAAATACAATAGTCCCCTCAAATAGCATAAATTGGGAATAACCAAGTAAACTACAAGTACCTCAAAACTGTGACTAAGTACAATACTTGAGCTGACCTGTAGTGACACTCTGCCCGCATTGTTAGACTCCATTCCCTCCTTGACGTCCACCACTCTTCTCTCCATCCTTCAAAGGCTCGTCTCAGCACCACGCTTTCATAGTGAGACCTGCAATATGTAATATTCCCTTTAACTAGAAGACTCAGATTCAGGTAGGACACTTGATAGTGGCAGACAGACTGTGATCCAGCTTTAAAAATAAACTCATCTATACACGTAAGTTATTTCAACAACTCCACTTTGTAAAATAAATGTAACTTATTACTTGGCTTTATGAGGAGGAACTCGACCAAAGGTGTTCCGCATCCATATCTTCAGGAACTTTCTGGCCAAGTGCCTGCGGTGGTTGAAAAAGTCAGGTTAAATCATAAATGACAAAAACAGTCATTTGAAATACAGTTAATTAAGTGTTTTAGCACCTTATTCTCAACTCCTTGAGTCTTCCACCTTTGTTCCAGCTGTATCCAACTCTGTAAGGAACCTTTCTGGTATGAACTTTGCGGAGTTGTTTTGTTTCACCACTTCTTGGTCTGGGTCGTCCTGGGTCTAGCTTTCTAGTGTCGCCCTGCATTGTGTTAAATCACGTCACGGGCATGAGTTACAGAACTGAAGCATTAGCATCAGTCTGAAGCAAAAACAACAGTGTGAAACTGTTTTGGACCTTCGTATATAACAATATTAACATCTTTAAACAACGTGAATAAACGGTTAAGGTGGTAACTCAGTGCCGCGCATTTGTTTTTCCTCGTCACGTGACCGCGTGTGTGTGACGCCGTGGTGTGTTCCAGAGATCTAGTTGCCAACGGCAACAGGCGGCACCAACGTCCTGCGCAGTATAAACACTGCACCGACTCCAGGCTGTGGATGCTAAACGGGTATCTCTTTAAAATAATCTTTTCAGTTTGGCACTAAGGCAGTGGTTGCGAGACCCCTTCCCTCTATACGTCAGCTTAAACTGTGAGTGACATGTTTACTCCCCGTCTACGGTAAAAAAGTGAAAACACAGGCGATGTCAGTTCTGGACAGCCCGTGAGGGCGGGGCCGTATACTTTCACAATACCGCAAGGAGATCGCTTTGACGGATTGGCAAATCGAACAAACCCCAAGACAATGAATAGCTGCCCCAAATAATGCCTCTTGAGTTTTCTAAATTTAGTGTAATTTCTACTCCTACAAACCCAGTTACATTTTTTTAACGGTTGATATAGCTGCGCATTAATGTCTTACTAGTTACATGTAATTTTTTATATTATTGTTTAAATATCAAAATGCAACACGGCTGACGCACGCCAGACTATTAAAAATTCTACAAAGGCGCAGTGGGCACAATGTAATCTTTCCAAGGACCTTCTTAAAGCGGCGATCTGAGGAAAATTGGTGCTACGACTTAGAAAACAGAGAAAGAGCAGGCAATTATTTCAGATTACACAGTCGCTGTGTGAATTAATTTCTTATTTGGACCTGTTTTATTGTGTTAAGTTGCCCCAGTACAGTGTATAATTGCTGGAATCTCTGAAACAACTCAGCCGGCTTTACATTTGGTACTCGCTGGGTGGGCATTATCCCCATTCCCCAGCTAGTTAGCTAGCTAGCTAAAGGCTCTAGGTTAGCTAGCTAGCTAACTATCGTGAGCGGACGCTGTTCGGCCGTAAGTTGCCAGTCTTCCACACAGCGTTCAAACCGAGTGAGTAATTTTTATAAATGTACTACCCAGTCAGTCCTTAGTGCAAATGTTGTACAACAAACGAGGTGTAGAGTTAACTATATGTGGGACGCTAGCCCAGCTAACCCTGGCTAACTGTTGTCGTATGTTCTCCTGAAACTCAGTGAAGAGTTGATTCATTTGAACAAAGACAGGTAAAGTGTCGTTAGTGTTTTGTACTGGCTGGAGATGTATTTGTTTTCAAAATAGTGTCGTTCAGTCTTGAAGCTACAGACAACTTGTCAATTACCGTAAACGCCAGGTAATTTATTGTAATTGACGTGTCACGTCTCATGTCAGCGTCTCTGGCTGTTGTCAATTAACTTGCTAATTGGCTAGCACCGTTTGCTAAAACTGTCCCAATGTAAGTTAACCCGATTTACGGCAAAGTTTATTGTTAATTTGATGAAATTGTTTTCGTTGTGCTGCGTGTTCATGTTTGAGGGCGGGTCGCTTTTCTAATGTTTTGTTTTTTCATCTAAACTTGAATGATGCTGTGTTGGTTCAACTTTAAAATCTGTTCTTATTGATCATTTGATGAACATCAGCTGAAGCAGTCAGTTAACTTAACGCTGTGTTGTCAGGCCAAATTCAAATGAAGTCAATGAAGCAGCAACTGTCATGGATAGTTAACGTACAAACCTTTGTTTCCAACAGGAGCAGAGACATTATTGGGATAGAAGCTGTTTGTTCCGTGTCTGTAGTCAATCATGGAGAACGATGCTTGTGTTGAGCCGAAGACTGGTGATGCTGCTGTCGATCAAGTTAAGCAACAGCCTGCAGCTACAGCTCCTTACAGATACACTAAGGTGATGGAAAAACACCAACTATACAATCGACAACTATACAGGCTGTATAGAGGTGTTCCCTAACACTAATGAACCATTTTGATATTGTTATTGTATAGGAAGAGCTTCTGGAAATAAAAGAACTGCCAATCTCCAATGAAAGGCCAGAATGTCTCTCTGAGAAATATGACAGGTAAGAGTGAATGTCCTAGGATGTCAGTATCCACTAATAATGACTGTAATCTGCTTAATTAAACATTTGATCTAGTCATAGGTAAGTGTTTACTAATGCTTGAACTGAGAGCATGACAATGAAAAAGCATTAGCATTTACTATGAGTCTACAACATTAGTAGCTTCCATTAATAGAATAAGACCATTTTGGAAGACAAAATTGGTGAAATCAATGTTAACTTTGAGCAATGAAGGTAAAAAGCTCTGATTTTATTATAAAGTTATATATAAATATATGAATTTCTGATTTCAATTTTAGGATATGGTAATATTTTGTAGGGGGTGGTCTTGAAAAACAAGCACGGTATTCAATGTATACAGATCAAAGCACCATGTCCTCACATGCCTCTGAAGTTCAAACCACATCTCAACATAGAGATCAAAGTCTGCATTAAGTAAAGCTTAATCTAATTTTGTGCTGCTGGAGGTTTGTGAAGTGTGTGGGATCAAATGCTTTTAACAGTGACTTTGAATGGATCAGATTCTGAAGTACAGCAGGTAGGCTTCCAACACTATCAAACACACCAGATATTCACAAACTAGGATTAAATTTGACAAAATGCCTATCATCCAGTTGCCTAAATATTCTCAAAATCTGCTTTTAATCATTTACATTCAGCCAAGTCTCAGAGCAAACAATATTAATTTCTTTTTGAACACATAAGTTGCTGCATGTGGCTGGTGAAAAATGGGTTCTGATGTTAGTGATTTCTTCTTAAGTATGTAATGGTCTGCAGATGATTGAAATTTTTATTTGATTCTATGAAATCTAGTCACTGTTGGATTGAGTGCAAGTTGGGCTTGGACTTGCAATTTTGTGTCTACATGTTCAAGGCAGATTTGTATTTCAGAATATTTAGTCTCCATTTGTTGACATTATAATCAAGACAGACTTTTCCCCAGGAGCCATCTTTGCATGCGTCTAGAGCTTTTATTATTTAAATACATTTTATATGGATTTCACAAAGATTTGAGATGTGAATGAATACCACCTGATTCTTTCAACCTTCTTTATCAACCTTCCAAGGCAAGCTGTTTGAAATACCAATCATGCTTGTGTTAAGATGGAAGTCTGATAGTTTTTTTTTTTTTTTTCAGTCTTCTGTGTGTTTCCTGGTTCACAGGGCCAAGAAGTAATGGTTGAAATCTATGGTTGCAGTTGACTTTTATGAAATGTAGTTAGATTCTACTGTAATTGGTCTTTCTAATGCTTATGACTGACAAATACCAGCATGAAAGAAAATCTAACATTAGACATGTACGCTCTGTTTGTTTTTGGAATCATTTTAGTGAATTATTTGTCTTGTCGGTAAACAGGTGAGTATGTCCTTTTTTTTTTTTTTTTTTTTTTTTTTAATTGTGGTTTTCAAATGGTGTTTTGATACAGTGATGGTGTCTGGGACCCTGAGAAGTGGCACGCCTCACTGTATCCCACTTCAGAGCGTAGCTCTCCAGTGGAAGGTTTTAAAAAGGACTATGTGGACGACAGAGTTCCTCTGAAACGGAGAATCCCAGGTAAATGATTATTTATATAGACCAAAGCCAGAAGGGGCAGGCTGCCACAGTCTAAGTAATTAATGGCAAAACGCTGAGCTGTGAAAATCGGCACATGTATAGAGCATTATCCCTGACTTATAGTATAAAAAAAAATAGCAGTTTTCTGTAAATGTAATGCTGTATGTAATGCAGTAATGCTCCACTGAATATGCAGTGGCTATCGATTATGCTCAAGCAAATGTTGTAACATTTTTTTGTTAGACAGAGGGATAAGAAGGTATACATGTAGTACAAGTGAAATGTATTTGATATTTACAAAATCTTCAAACCAGAGGCCTGCACTGGATTGATGACTTGGTGTAATGTGACTGTTGATGTAGATTGTGTACTCTAAACATCTAAAACCAAGCTGTTTGTTGCATTACATCCAGATCCTCGTGAGCGTTTAAAGGAGGATGATCTGGATGTCATACTGAGCCCACAGCGACGCAGCTTTGGAGGTGGATGTCAAGGCAATGCTGCACCTGCCCTCCATGCCCGTCGCCCAGTCAGCCCCCTAGAAAATAAGGAGAATGAAAGTCTCCGTCTGGGAGGAGCACGCAGAATCGGCAGTGGACGCATAATTGCTGCCCGAGCATTTGAGAGAGAAGCCCGTGCGGAGAAAGAGAGGGAACGTGAGAGAGACTTTAAAGATAAAAGATTCAGGGTTGGTGTTCACTGTTTTCAGTCCATCCATAATGTATTTCCCTTAGTGTCCAGACGATGAGGCATTCAGTGCACTGCTGTTACCGTTTCTTTACAATGCTAAGTAAGATTGCTAAGAAAGATGTGCAAAATAGCAGATGCATATAGCATTGTTTTTCACAAAAAAAATGTGCCCCCCTTGACTAAATGTGGTTTCTCCAGAGTTAACATCGATTCTGGTGCCATCGATTTAGTATGATTTTTAGCAGCATGTATTTTCTTCCATTTTACAAACACAGTAGACTTATGTTTTTTTTTTTTTCATCATTTGCAGAGAGATTTTGGTGACAAACGTGTGTTTAGTGAGAGGAGAAGGAATGACTCGTATGCAGAGGAGGAGCCAGAGTGGTTCTCTGGGGGTCCCACAAGCCAGTCTGAGACAATTGAACTCATTGGATTTGACGACAAAATCCTGGAAGATGATAAACGCAGGTCCAAGCGGTCAAGGAAGCGGACAGAGTCTGTGAAAGAAGGCATGTCTTTCTGTGAAACTGTTCTTCTGAATTACAGCAACATAATACATTTTGACCTTCTTTTTTTTTTTCTTCTTTCTTTTTTCTTACATTAGTTGTTTTTAACTGGTGAAGTTCATGGTATTATTTGGTTAACTAGCTTAGTGTGATGGCTATCATATTAGGGATATTAAAGATTTTCATCTTTAATGTCGCATTTATCATGTGCAGTGGTGGAATGTAATGGTGGACAAGCGGAAGAGCAAGATGCGGGTTTGCAGTCGACAGCCGATCAGGAGGTTC